AATTCCTTTTGAACGCATTTTATGTGCAATAACACCATGGTCACATTTATCAAAAGCTTTTGCGAAATCTGTGTAAATTACATCCGCGTTATGTTTGTCTTCCATAGCATCTAATGCCATATCATAGTGGTCCAGCAACTGCGACAGGCAAGAGCGCCCTGTTCTGAAACCATGTTGTCCGGGGTTATGGAGTTGCTGTGATTCCATGTATTTTGTGATTTTACTTCTTAGCACTCTCTCAAAAATTTTTATGATGTGCGATGTTAGCGCTATCGGTCTGTAATTTTTTGCCTCTGCCTTATTTCCTCCTTTATGAAGTGGTGCTATCTCTGCTGTTTTTAGTATATCAGGAATAACGCCAGTATCTAGGCTTTGTCTCCACAGAATGTGGAGGGCCTGCGATAGTGGTTTTTTACAGTTCTTTATGAATATGGAGTTCCAAGAATCCGGGCCTGGTGCAGAGTGCATAGGCATACTGTTTATGGCTTCTTCAAAATCCAGTGGGGATAGGGTGACGTCTGATATATGATTTGATGTTGGTATCGTATCCATGAAAAATTCATATGGGTTATCAATCTTTAGTGTGTTTAATGGCTCGCTGAAAACGGAGTCGTACTGCGTCCTCAGTAGCTCGCTCATTTCTTTGTTGTCATCGGTGAAAGTTCCATCTCCCTTTCGCAGGGGCCCGATACTAGATGTGGTTTTTAATCTTGATTTTGCATAGGAGAAAAAATATTTCGGATTTCTTTCTATTTCACTGATGGCCTTTTGCTCTCTTTGCCTCTCCTGGGTTTTGTATGATTCTTGTAGCTTCCGTTCAATTGTTTCTATTTCTCTACCTAACCTTCTTCGCCGTTCTTGAGATAGGGTGCGACTCTCAAGTTGTTCCGCGATTCGTTTTCTTCGCCTATATAGGGAACGACGTTTCCGTTCCAATCTGCATCTCTTCCTCTTTTTTCTTAGAGGTATGCGGTTTGAACATATTTCTAGTGCTACCGAGCTTATTTTTTCAGGCACTGGTTCAGGTTTGCATTTTCTAGCTGTTCTTCCCAGTTTATTTCTGTGAAGTCCTGGTTTATTTGCTCCCAGTTTATCTGTTTATTATTGAAGTTGAATTTGCTGAAATCTCCTCCACCGGGAATCTGGACTGGTTTTGAAGGTCTACTCCCCATGGTTGTCATAACTTCAATTAAGTTGTGATCTGAGTAACAGGTATTTGTAATCATTATGTTCCTGATCAATTCATCATTATTAGTGAAAATGAGGTCCAGCGTGTTCTCCTTCCTAGTTGGTTCTACTATTTGCTGGTTTAAGGCAAACCTGTCGCACATCCGTAGCAGGTCATTTGCATGTGCCTGTTCATTTAGGCTACTTCCTGGTATTCTTTCTGATATTACTGTATTAGCCAGGTGCTTCCATTTCAGGTGCCGTAGGTTGAAGTCCCCAAGCAGGATGATGTTCGGAGCTGGATTTGTGAGGTTTTCCAAAGAGGTGTTCTATTTTCATTAGTTGGTCTTTAAACTGCTGAGGGTTTGCCTCCGGTGACTTATATACAAGGACAATAACTACATTTAAAATCTCTATTTTGATTATCAGCACTTCCACCATATCATTTGAGGTGTTTAGCAGCTCAGTACAGATGAGTGTGTCTTTGATGTAGAGGCTGACCCCACCCTGAAGCCGGTGTTTCCTATCACATCTGAAAAGATTGTACTCTGAGATCCATATTTCACCATCATGGTAGTCCTTTGTGTGGGTTTCTGTTAGGGCTGCAAACACTGCATTTGCCTCATGAAGGAGACCATCTACTAGTATGGTATGTATGTATGGTATGACCAGTATGGTATCAGATGGGGGGTGACCCATATATTTTTTCAATCTAGGGGAATGTGTCGTTAATCCAGAGATTTTCAAAATATGGGTTTCAATGACAAACACAGTTCTTCGGCCAGTTGCTTTGCGATTTTGGATTAGATTCCATCAATTGAATCTAAAATTCAATCCAATTCAATCTGCCTGAAAGGCTGTAGGTGTTAGTAGCTTTGCAAGAATGAAAGAACACCAATATTATGTACTCACACAACCCAATGTACCTTCTTGTATATAAATAAATTCATAAAATAAATCAACACCTGAGGCTTTAGAATCTTTAGATTATATTAAATTCCTGGTGACTTGTCCTGGTACCTTCTGCCCTGCCTCCATGATAGTTCTGCCTGCCACTGCTGCTGACTCGCTCAAAATGGTTCATCATATCTATTTTCGTAAAAGTTTCCCCCCTTCACATATCCACATAAACACCCATATTACTCCCAATATTTAGAAACTTAACCAGTAAACGGTTCAACAAGTTATTAATCTTGCCTCCCACAGAGGGTCAAACATTCTAGATAATAATTAACTTTCTCTAGACAGCCTGTCTTACCTAATACGTCGTTATGGTCACCTGCGTACCAAATGCAATGTGCTATGAAAAGTGGCGGCTCACAACAATCCACGTTTTCTATGCATTAGATAGTTAGGTTAGGTGGGTGGCATGGGTCTGTTCGTTTGTGGTTAGGTTAAGACTTTGAAATTTGTGTATTGTGGCAAATATAGAGAACGGGCTGCTGAAGGCCAGGGGAGGCGAACCTTGCGGAGAATGTCTGCCCAAATTAGCAATAAATCTTGTGAAAAATGATTACGTGAGCCCATGAAATTGTTGAGCAGCAGATTATAATTGGTTGGTATTCTTATATTTGTATTTTGCCAATTTTTTATAGTAGTAAGAGAACAAAACTCTTGAAATCATTCTTAAAGTTGTCTGTTTTAGCAACCAGTAATGTTCCTGAATTGTTTTATATGGTACACCTTTAGAAATTTTCATGTTGATAACTAGTAATTCCCAAGAAGTAAAATAAATTAGTTAATAACAATAATAATAATAATGACATTTTTTAAGGAAAATGGGAGTCCTGTTGCTTATTTATGTGTATATTTATTGCTCTTCTATTAACACAAGTATAACAGAGAGATTTAAATAAATGATAGTTTTCTAGAAAGTGTGTTAAAAATATATATTAATATTTTTTTAACAAGTTAAATTGTCATAATTTTAAAATTGTCCAATTACATAATTTTAAAATTATATTATTTATAAGCAATAAACTCATTAAACTTAACAAAAATTAAAGAAAGGAATATAAGATCATTTTACTCTGAGATTTTTGCTGCTACACTAAAGATGAAATTGTTTATATCAAGCTTATATTTGATTGCCTTGAGAGCTGTGTTGTAGCTCTAGTTTCATCAGTAAGTCTACTCCCATAATTAGACTTGACAAAGTTCCTCTCCCAAAACAATGACTCGCATGAATATGTCGATGAAAATACTGTTAATTCTTCCACTGCCAGATTTTTCATACAGTCAAATGTTTTAGGAATGGATTTCAGGAGTTTCAAAACTTAATTTAGTGCAAATTTTTGCATTAATCCAGTTATTAACTAATCTCTTAATATTTTTCAGTTCAGCTTTTAAAACGACAAATTTTTGCCCTCAAATTGAGCGTCTTTGTCAATCAATCCATTGAATATCAAAATAATCCAAATCAGTTCACTGTAACATTTCCAAATTCAGTTTGTCTAATGTTACACTGTCTGCACACTCTATGAATTTTGCAATTTCTTGAAATGATCTGAATTTTGTAAGTTTTAAACAAAATGTAACAGCAGTTTTTTTTTTTTTTTTTTTTTTTTTTTTTTTTTTTTTTTTTTTTTTTTTTTTTTGAGATATATACAAGAGTTGTTACATTCTTGTACAGCCACTAGTACGCGTAGCGTTTCGGGCAAGTCCCTGGAATACGATCCCCTGCCGCGAAGAATCGTTTTTTCATCCAAGTACACATTTTACTGTTGCGTTAAACAGAGACTACAGTTATGGATTTGCGCCCAGTAAATCCTCCCCGGCCAGGATACGAACCCATGACATAGTGCTCGCGGAACGCCAGGCGAGTGTCTTACCACTACACCACGGAGACTGCAAGTTGAATGGATGATTTTCAAAAATTGCATTGGAAGACTCTGAATACTTGTTCTTCATTAATATCAAGATCTGTCATGTGTGTTTTTAAGGTTGGGAAACGTTTAAAGTGTCACAGTCGACATCATTATTAAAAAAATTCAGTTTGATTTCAAAGGCTTTTATATAATCAAACATGACAACAAGTTTTTGCTTTATACCTGAAATTTGGTGTTCCAGTCATATATGTCCAAAAGCTGTGAAAAATATCATTCTATAAAACCTCATGAAGTCAAATAATTCTTTACAAGGAATTTTTCCTTCCTCAAAAACTTTAAAATTTGTTCCAAACACTCAACAAATTGATTAAAAACAAAACATCTACTAAGCCACCAAACATTGGTGTACATAAATAATCCTGTGCACATCGAATTCACTGCACTCAGTTAATTCAGATATTGTCATTTTTTCAAAGCTCGTGCATAAATATAATTAACTATCACGGTTACAATTTTCTTCACTTCCAGTTACCAACTTAATCAGTTCTTTACACTTCAGTTCAGTGTAAAGTTAATCAGTTCAGTTCTTTATTATTGATATTCTTCATATATTTATATATTTTGGATGGGTATTAAAGAATCAAAGGGGCGGCCCTACATGCCAGGAAAACTTGTTCACGTGCCACTCTTGGCACATGTACCATAGGTTTGCCACGCCTGAGCTAGAGATACTTTTTCTTAGGATAAACTAAAATATATTGGATATAGAGGCGCCTCTCTGCCAGGTTAGTGCCTATGATGAATTAACAGAAGTAAAGATCATATATTACCTAAACGGCAAGTTGCAAAATTGGCGATAACTTCTTGCAGGATACACAGAGCCCTGATGTGAAAACTTGTGAGAGCTGTATCTCTTAACTAGCCTCGATCATGGTAGCTTAGACGGTATTTATTAAATAATTTACGATCTCCGAAGAGCAACAAAGTCGTCCAGAATAAGCTTCCATGATCGACCTAAGTGATCCAGAAGTAGTAAGTGCACATGTAAGTGCCCCATACATTTGGAGCTGCAAATATATATTATTTGCATTAAGTTTAAAAATAGATTAAATTGGATAAATAGGCTTTCAGCATAATCTTTAAACAATAACCTTTATTAGTTTATTTGTGTATATTTCACATTAAAATTTTCCTCATTGAACAAAATTTTATATTTTTAATTTTTAAATTTTGTTTTTCAATTATCTCCATCACCTTTCTCCCTCTGATCTTGTCTTGTAGGTGACTCTTCTGCTGGTCGTGACGACGACGACGACGACCGGCCATCCTAGGGAGCAGTCGGAGTCTTATTACACCCTCCACACTGCAGGCCAGGCTGCCCACCACACCCCACAATACGACACTTACCCTCCAAGGCCCCACACTCTCACACTCGTTCCTCACCACACACCATCACTAAAGGCACCATCACCAACACCACTGAACCTCAAGGAACACGCCAAAGAAGTAAGTAACTCTTTTTAAACTTCTAGCTGATGTGTCGAAAGGTTAATATTATTAAGTTATGTTAAGTGAGTTTCCCCTTCAGTTGAGTCCTATGTAAATTAATATAGCATTGATTGTAACAATCGATAACGTTGCAAAACATGTGTATTTTGTGTGACAAAATATATACAGCACAGAGATCAGAAACAGCCATCTCCAGTGTTTTCTTTACCCATTGTTACGGTCAGCTGGGAAGCCTCTTAGCTTCATCTCGGTTTCCCTTGAAGTTTAGTCCAACGTTTGACCTTCTCTAAGATGCAACCCACAAGGGTTACCTAACTCCTAAGTACTTATTTATTTATGGCACCTGTACCAACTGAATGATAAATACTTTTTTTCCTTCAGGAGCCGAAGCGACCATCCAACTTCGCATACAGTGTTAAGGACAGTTATTATGGCACTGACTACTCTAGGCACGAGTCGAGCGATGCTACGGGCACCAAGGGCCAGTACCAGGTGAGTCCAGCTATGCCTCCGGGCACCAAGGGTCAGTACCAGGTGAGTCCAGCTATGCCTCCGGGCACCAAGGGTCAGTACAGGTGAGTCCAGCTATATGCCCCAGGCACCAAGGGGTGAGCCCAGCTATGCCTCCGGGACTATACAGGTGAGTCCAGCTATGCCCCGGGCACGAGTCGAGCAGCTATGCCCCAAGGGCCAGTACCAGGTGAGTCCAGCTATGCCCCAGGCACCAAGGGCCAATACCAGGCAAGTCCAGCTATGCCCCGGGCACCAAGGGCCAATACCAGGCAAGTCCAGCTATGCCCCGGGCACCAAGGGCCAGTACCAGGCGAGTCCAGCTATGCCCCGGGCACCAAGGACCAGTACCAGGTGAGTCCAGCTATGCCCCGGGCACCAAGGGCCAGTACCAGGTGAGTCCAGCTATGCCCCGGGCACCAAGGGCCAGTACGAGGTGAGTCCAGCTATGCCCCGGGCACCAAGGGCCAGTACCAGGTGAGTCCAGCTATGCCCCGGGCACCAAGGGCCAGTACCAGGCGAGTCTAGCTATGCCCCGGGCACCAAGGGCCAGTACCAGGTGAGTCCAGCTATGCCCCGGGCACCAAGGGCCAGTACCAGGTGAGTCCAGCTATGCCCCGGGCACCAAGGACAGCATAACCAGCACATGATGGTAGACTACACTTGGGGGGCTGATTCGTAAAAGTAATTTACTGTATCTCACTTTTTCAAAAAAACTACTCACTTTTATATCTTTTGTGGTTATTTTTGTATAAATTCATAATTTTTTCTTTATCTGAACGAATAGATGCAAATTTGCCTATTTTCTCATAGGAAATAAATAGATTTCAAATTAGGACTGTTTTTGTCACAAAAGCAAAATTTGCGGGAACTAATAACCATATTGTCGACATGCAGGCGGTGAGTCACAATAACGTGGCTAAAGTAAGTTGACCAGACCACACACTAGAAGGTGAAGGGACGACGACGTTTCGGTCCGTCCTGGACCATTCTCAAGTCCAACAATCGACTTGAGAATGGTCCAGGACGGACCGAAACGTCGTCGTCCCTTCACCTTCTAGTGTGTGGTCTGGTCAACCATATTGTCGACTATTGAGTCATAAAGAGAAATATTACTTAATGCCTCAGGAGCAACACTTGTAACGTCATGTACATGGAGAAAGCTGTCTCCAGGTAGTTACTGTATATATCTTTATTAATTACCTTATTTTAACTGAATGTAATTTTAGATTAGGCTTTTGATGTTTGATTAGGCTAATCTTTTGATGTTGGTTTGACATTGTTAGTTATTTTGTGATTAATGTTGTACAAAAATGTGTTTCAGGTTCAGCTCCCTGACGGGCGGCTGCAGACGGTAATCTATCGCGCGGATAAAGATGGGTTCCATGCTCAGGTTCTGTACGAAGGTGAACCTCATCACCCCGCGCCCCAGCACCATCCCGCGCCCCAGCACCATCCCGCGCCCCAGCACCGCCCTGAGTCCCAGCACCGTCCTGAGTCTCAGCGCCAGCCTGAGTCTCAGCGCCAGCCTGAGTCCCATTACCACCTTGAGTCCCAGCGCCAGCCTGAGTCCCAGCGCCAGCCTGAGTCCCAGCGCCAGCCTGAGTCCCAGCGCCAGCCTGAGTCCCAGCGCCAGCCTGAGTCCCAGCGCCACCCTGCCTCATCCATCCCCTCACAAGTCTATTACTCAACTCCCAAACGAGTCTACCACTCCACACCCAAGCCAATCTACCACTCCTCACTCAAGCCAGTCTACCACTCCACATCCAAGCCAATTTACCACTCCACACTCAAGCCAGTCTACCACTCCACATCCAAGCCAGTCTACCACTCCACACTCAAGCCAGTCTACCACTCCACATCCAAGCCAGTCTACCACTCCACACCCAAGCCAGTCTACCACCCCACTTCCAAGCCTGAATCAGTTTATAACACTCACCCTAAAGCCATGCACAATGTCCCAACGACAGGTTATCGAATAACACCTAAGCCTCAACACCTATTTACACCTGAACTAGCCTATCATTCTACACGTAAGCCAGCCTATTACTCGACACGTAAGCCAGCCTATCATTCTACACGTAAGCCAGCCTATCACTCAACTCCAAAGACTGTACTCCAGTCACCTCTCAAGTCAATTTACCAGTCAAAACAGGAAACATTTTACCTAACAACACCCAATTCGATTTTTTATTCAACCCGGGGTCCTGAGAACAGGTTCCCGGCCGAGCCAGCATACCTGGACTCTGAACCCGAGTACAAGCCGCAGGAGAGCGGGTACAAGCCGCAGGAGAGCGGGTACAAGCC